GCGCTGTGTAGAGAAAGGCTTCCATTACCAGAACACAATGGTTCAGAACACAGTGGAAACAAGTTCTGCTTGATTCTGCTTCCAAGCTTTTTATAGGATCCGGAGACAAATGCTCAGTCTGTAGCTCACCTGTATTCATGGTATACCGGGAGTTAGAGAGAGGCGATATGTATGTGTGTGGGGGGGGGAGGGGTAAAATAACGGTTTTCTTTTTTCTAATTTATTTCTTTTTCTAAAAGTATGAGGAACAACAAATTTCCACATATGTTTAAACTAACTCTCCCTTTCATTATCCAGGATTGCTCTAGGAAACCCTCACTGGGAGACACATAGAACAGCAAGGCAATGAGGCCAAGTGGCTCAGAAGGAGCATATGAACAGCATGTCCAAGAAGTGCACACTTCAGCAGAGAGATGGCAAGGAGTCATGGCGGACAGCACTGGGCTCTCAGAGGACCCACCATGAAAGCCACTTGTCAGCCTTCTCCACTTTTGCACAAGAGAACTGGAGAAGGAGTTTCTCCTTCAAGCAGCAGCTGAATTCACCACAGCAGATCCCCTGTAGGAGGCTTCAGGAAAGGCTTGGAGAACTGTGAACACCAGGGAGGGTGTGCCAATGCCTCACCAACAGAGTATGAACAGGAAGCACAAGAAGTCTCCACTGCAATACCAGGGCAGAGGAGAATCCCTCCAGGGGCAGGGTGGAGCCTGCACTGGGAGAACAAGCAAACCCCTGGGTGCTGGCCAGTATCACAGCTGTTCACCAAGCAACAACTTTTCCTAGAATGCTTTTGAGGTGCTCAGCATTCTGCTAAAATGTGAAGAATCCAAGATAATGAGGCATAGGCTCTGATCTCAAAGAACCAATGGGACAGGGTGAGGAAAATGAATAGGCAATCAGGACACCTCTGGGAATCCTGAATCCTTCAGCTAGTACTTTGGTAAAAAGGATTCTCCATGCAGCCTAGATGTGGATAGCACTGTCAGTGAGTTTTGATGGGGGAAAGGCAAAAGCAGGTGCACTGCAGAGGGCACCCCATTCAACCACTCAATGGTCCCTGATTCCAAGTGTGTAGAGAAACCTGTGGATTTATGCTTGGCCCCATTCTGTTACTTGGGCTTTATGATGGCCTGCTAGGAACATGAGAACGCGGGGCTCTTACAATCCAACAGAATCTAGTGAAAGAGCTAGAGAGTACTTTTCTATGAAGGGTGTTGTTCTTCTCTATTGTATCTTTTAGGAGACAAGGAAAGAGCTCATATATTTGTTTACTCAGGAAAGAGTAGGAAGAATGAGACAGCCTTAAAGATGTACCACTGAAAGCCCAGTGTTTATGGGCTGCACTAAAATGCATTCTTGCATGCCTAGATAAAAACAAAAGACAAGGCACAGAGTTCTCCATGTCTCTGAAAGACGCGGTGGCTCCACCAATGCCACTCCTGTACCACAAGCTTAGTGCTATCACAGGGACAGGGATGTGGGCTAGGTGTCAGTGAAACCCTGTGCTCACAGAGATGCCTCTTCCTTTTGGGGACAGGAAGGTGGGGCTCTGCTTCCTCAATAGGCTAAGGCCCTGGCAGGTACAAATATCTGCATGTCCTACAGCAGGCGTGCAGAGCAGGACAGGGATCTTTAGAACGCTGGTGCACCTTCTCCATGAACTCTAGGAGTGACACATTAATGAGGAGAGCAAAAAGGTTTGATGCTAGAAATAACATTTGGAAAACTACTTCTTGCACTCAATGGCAGTGTCCAGAGAGCATTTGGAAGCCCCTACCTCCCTCTCCATCTTGCCCATGGGCAGCTGACATTTTCTCCATCTGATGAGGAGGCCTGGGAAAGGCCTCTTGACCTTTCCCACCAGATTTTCATTCCTAGGCATTTCTGGAGCAAACTGCATGAATCCCTGCTGAAGTCACAGCATTTCTCTGCTCATTTTCCATCCACGGGTTGGCCAGGGCTCGAAATACTCTTTAATTATGAGTTTATAGCAAGCAGCACCATAGGTTATGATGGATGAATCTAGGATTTTTCAGAAATGTGCAGAACAAACGAATCAGTTTGGAGAAAGAAAAGTGCAATGAAGTCATCAGGTTGCCAGAAATGCCCTGACCAACTATTCATTCTCGAACTGCGTGTGTGTGTGTTCTTGACTGAACAATTCTCTAACTTCACAGAATGGGACAAAAGATGACAATAGCTCACTGCTTTTAGAGGCTCTGCAAAGGTGAATATCTTTCTCTCCAAGGAGCCCCAATCCTGTCCTAATTTATTTAAAATAAGCACTATCTTGAAAATATTTGGTGGGGAAAGATGAAGGCTTGATTGCTCAAGATCTCCAGCTTCAGTTTAGATTTGGCAGCAGTTCAATGACATCTCTGATCTCCAAATAATCATTCACTGGGAACATAGAACCCTGGTGATTTCAGAGATGATTAGTTATTGCATGGCATGTCCCATCAGCTTGAATCCTGGAGAGCTAATCCAGGCCCAGGATGTGGACAAAGCTGTTCATCTAAATTACTCTAATCCACAGATAGATTCTGATTGTCCTACCCCTCTCTCCTTGATCCATCTTCTGTTTCCATAGCAGCTAAAACCTCAGTAAAATGGCAACATCTGTCCCAGGCTCAGGTAAAAGTCCCCTTGGGAAGTACATCTGCTTGATTCCCACAACAAAGGAAAAAAAAGGACTCCAAGACACAACAGCTTGAGTGTCAGTAAGACATAGGGAAGGGGCTCAGCCCTAAAGAGATGACAGGTAGTTGTGAGGAAAAAGAAAGTTAAAGGGAGGGAGGCAATGTAGAAAGGAATGAAATTAAATAGAGACATACAGGAGGCTGTGAGAAGAAAAGAAAGTACAGAGCCAAAAAGGATATGGGAAAATACATATATAAAAGGGAATGTGTAGAAGTGAAGGGTACTCGACAAGGACAAATAACTGACTACTTGGAGGTGGAATTAAGAAAAGAGATCAAATAGGAGACAGACTTTGTTTCTTGGCATGAAGCAAAGGAAATCTACCCCGGATGATAAATGTTCTGTGGATCAGAAAGGTACACACTGCCCTGGCACCAACGCACTGGGCATTCTACTTGGAGCTGTGATGAATGGCATGCACCGTGGACTTAGAGTCTGTCCGCAGAATGGCCCCTCCTTGGAAGTGCCCAGGGCCATTCTACATCACCAATGACCTGGTGCTGAGCTGAGGCCACATCCTAGATTTGGGGCCTGCCCACACATAAGGTCATTTCAAATGGAGAGACTGGCAGAGATATGAGCAGCTCTCACCGATCCCCTTGTTCACAGGGGTAGAGTCAATAATAGTGTCCTAGGATAGCTCCCAGGAATTCAGGACAAAGACAGGTGAACCTTTCACGCCTTCTCTGAGAACATCCATCACTGTACACTGTGGCTACTGGAGAGAGGAAACTCAGTATTTGCAGACCATTGAAGTCCTACTCTGTTTTTCTGGAATATCGCAGTGCAGTGGGTACTTTGCTGCACCGCCACCTTCAGGAATGCAGGACTCATGCCCCAGGGAAGGACAGGCTTTGGCAGATAGTCTTCAGCTGTCAGCCCTTTGTAGGGGTCGACTTATGTGAAGACAGACACTTGGTCCAAGGTTATAACCTTTTGCACACAGCCTAAATTCAGCAAGGGACTGCTATGTTGATACAAAGGATCAGCCCCAGTACTGCCATAGAGTACATTTCTGGAGGGCCATCCCAGCTTCAAAACTCCCCATAGGTTCAGCAGTGGTGTTCCATTGGACCACATCACAGCTCAGTTTCTCCCTCTGCCAAATAGTCCCTCCATTCTTTTCTAAAAGAATTGATCCCAAGAACACTGTTGGGTAAGTTTCACACCAATCCCCTCTCCAAATGAGAAGGTACAACAAGCAAATCACCTCTGCTATGGTGCACCTGGATTCCTCAAACCCGAGCTGGCACTGCCCAGCTGGACACAAACCTTCATCATCTACACACACACACACACACACACACACACAATCACACACATACATTCATATTATCTAGTGATAGGCAGCAAAATTCAGGACCTCTATTCATGTCTTTGCTCAGATACCAACTTTTTGGAGACCTTCCTTGACCATACCCCATGTCATTTGGTCAATGTATACAGCTCTATTTTAATGCTCCATCAGCTCCTGGTATATTGTATACCCATGTATTTATTGCTTGTCATCTGTCTCATGAGAGTATGAATTCATGAAAACATAAATTTGTCAGTTTGAGTTCACTGATAAATTCCCCAGTGCCTAGAACAGAGCTGGGGCTATTGTAATACTCAATAAATACCTAAGAATGAATGAAAGAACGCTATGCTTTCTTCCAAATAAATGCTAGCTTAATGGTAAATAACATCTTGTCTTAAATTTGAACCATTTAAATATTCAGTTCTTGAAAACACAAAACACTTAGTCTGGTCTGCATAACATCTGAACATTTAAACCAAATGAATTTTGCAATTTAGCCGCACATTAAGTTATATTTATTATCTAGGATCAATCAGAGAAAAACAACAACAAAACCACAAAAACGACTAATGACCAGATTTTTGGCAATACTGAAGAGGCACAGACTAGGACATTTTCCTATCCTAATATGGGCATTTAAGATCTCATCCATCATTGTGTGCTTGTGTTTTCTGTCTCTTAAAACAGCCAGCTGAGCAATGCCAATGAAGCAGCTTCTCACGTTCCCAAACTTGACATGACAAGTTCACCCAGAACATCCCGACCACTGTTTTACCCAGAAGCAACTGAGATTAATATACAAAGGATTGGAGAAATAGTCAGGTGGGATTTCTGAAGTTTTAGATGACATGGCTGTCTTGCAGAGAACCTCAAAACTCTGCAGAGCCATGAGTGTATCATTGCCACACACAGGAGACTCTGAGTCACAGCCATAACATCCTGTCCCTGGTCTGGTCTCCTGTGTCCTCTGATAACATTATGTACAAGCTGCTTCTCTTACCTTTGGGGGAGATGTGTCTCCAGGTGACTGTAGGCTCTGGTCTACCTGTCGCTATGCAGGTGAGGCTGATATTGTTCCCTTCGTTAATGGAGATATCTGAAGAAATTTCTACAATTTTGGGAGATACTGTGAAGACAAAACAGGTAGAAGGAAAATAAGGATCCTGCTCATACATTTTTCTGTCGCCTTAAAATGATAGTTGACAGAACAGATGGAAGACTGAAATACATGGACTGCATTTGTAAATGATGAAAAGTTAGAAATTACCTTAAACATGGAAAAAATCTTACCTTGAATTTAGCTTCCATTTCCTCTTATATAAACAGCAAGTCAGAGAGTCCAGACAGGAATAAATTCCACTGCAATGCTGCAATAACTGCTCTTCTAGCTTACACCTTTTCCCGTTTCCACTCTCACCCCACCCACCTCCACCACATAGCCACGAGTCATTCTTCTCACTGCATTCAGCGATGTCTTTATGTAATGCGATTCTGATCACAGCACATCACTGCCTGAGCAGCTCCATTGCTCCCTACTTCCTCCCTGATCATAACCAGGCTCTTTACCTAGTATATGATACCATTCAGATTCAATCTTCAGCAGATGCTCCTGCTGCCATCCTCAGGGGTTCTACTCTGTACATCCACTGGCTGTGCCATCCTGCCCTTCAAGGTCACCATGCATGTGGATCTGCACTGTTCTTCACATCTTTCCTGGGAAGCTCACAGTCATCCTTACAGCCTAACCAAAAGGCCATTTTCTTTGTTGCAGTCCTCACCACTCCTAAAACTCTCTGCCCTACTTAAAACTCAGATTTAGTGCTTCCTCTTCAAGTGAAAATAACATTAGTGAACTATAACACACCTGGTCTCTCTGTCTCTGTCTGTCTCCCCTAAATTACTCCTTCCAGCAAGGTGACATTTTCATCCTGATGGGAACAGGACTCTCACTTAATAGTCTTTTGATTTGGGCTTCCATGCTGTTGTACACCTCCTGCCTGTTGTACAGAAGCAGTACACCACAGAGACAGGTCCATCCTGCAGCTCACACTGCCTGTGTACACCTGTCTCATTTCTGGGCCCAGTTTTAGAAACTCATCCTTGCTACCTTTCTGAGCCCAATTTCACAGCATCAGCTTTACCACTAGTCTTTGTGGGTTTTGGCTCTCTGTGTGACTACTCATTTGTCTAATCTGTCAAATGGTTTATAATTCAAGTGGATAAGATGAGAGTGCCATTGACTGAGCTCCCAAACCCTGTTTGTAGACAGTACGGTACAGCTATTTGCTTAGCATTACTCACCCACTAGACCATGAGTCTTCTGACACCCTGAACCGAGCCTTTCATATGTTTACATATGTCTACAGTAAAAGCTCAACAAAAATATATGAGGCTGAATTATAATGTCTGTTCAAGGGATCCACCTTTCCAGCCTCTCCATGCTCCCAGCAGTCTCAGAGTGGGGTCATTAGCACACATTATTTTAGTCTTGTTAACACTGGATTGGACAGTGTCGTTCTGGGCAAGTTAATGGACCTCTCTATCCAGGGATCTCATGTTTCTTCATGTCATCTTCTTCCTTGCATACACATACTCTGGAGCCATCACTGTGCAATCCCAAGGCTCATTTCCCTCCCAGTACACAATGCCATCCGATCTGCTAGTAAATGCAGGGAAGCTGAAAACTGATGACTTTATTCTTCATTCCAAAACCAGAGTGGTGAGGTCACTAAAGTCAGACTGCTTTGGAAATCTCAATGGTAGCCTTTCCTCTAGTTGAGTCATTTGCTGACACTCACCTTTACTTATGCTGGAACTTTGCCTCCATAAAAAGTGGGTACCATGCAGATATCTTCTCTTTGTGTTCTTTCTGTCTATCCTCAATATTTTCTTCCATTCATGTCCTACACTCTAATGAGTGGGGACACTCAAGGCTCATAGCATGTGCTGCTCCTTTGTGTTCTTATCCTCAGTCTCTCACTGCAGACATCAATGCTTAGGTGCTTTTCTTAGAATTATCTGAGACCTAGATGAATTACCATCCTTCCCACACAGCCTTCCAGAGAGAGGATCCCCAAGAGGAATGACCTCCCCTTGCTGTTTAGCAGGCAGTTTTGTACTATCTCCCTTACAGCACTTTCAAGTAGGACTCTTTTATGATACATTTGTCTCACCTTTCCTTCTATGCCATAAATTATCTGGATATAAGATGTTAATTATGAGCTTTACTTATCATTTAATTTTCTGCTGTCTTGAAGAATGTGTCTTGCATAGAGTAAGCACCAATTAATCATTTTTAGGTTTAGGTCTACAATGAGCTTCACATAAAGAGGTAGTAGTGTGTGTGTGTGTGTGTGTGTGTGTGTGTGTTTGTGTGTGTATTTTTAAAGGTATTTGGTGGAACAGAAATAACGGAGAGCATCTGTAGTGAGGGTTTGAGAGGGACTCTTGACTCTGCATCTGGGACTTTCAAGACAAAACTTTGCAATTTTTGGCTGTGTCACTTAAAAATCTAGATTGGGCCTTCCAGGACAGAAAAGTAATTGCCGATTTAATAACTGAGTGTTTGATTTGCTGACTTCCTAATGGGTACAAATTTCTAAATTCTTTTTGTTCTAAAATTATTTAAACTGATCTTGCAGAAATAAAAACTTTGATGTATTTTGTGTATAGGCCTTAAGAGAAGCAGTCCCTGCTCATACACTCTCCCACCTACCCAGACAATTGCCTGATCCCTGCCTCTGCCTGCTTTTGGCACCCACACGCCTTGCTTGCGTCCTGGAGGATAGGCTGCCTGCAGAATGTCCTGCTGGCCTTGCAGACATTGCTCCAACTGTTCAGGTAAGTAATTTATTGATCTGTAAAGTACTCCAAGATGCTCTGCAAGGGATTATGTCACGCCAACACCATGCAGTAAAATGAAAAATGATGGACTTTGTGAACACAGGGTGATTTAGGGTTTGTAGTTGGAAATGTACTTAAAGTACATTTTAAGTGGAAATCAGGCCGGGTAATGAATTACTCTTGCTTTGGAAGGGGTTACTGGGAGTTCATTTTCCTGGCTCCTTACATGATAGCTAATCTGCTAATCATACAGTAGAGAACAATGGACAGTCCCCAAAGAGGATGCAGGTGCTTTGGGCCAGAGCTGTCAGCTCAGTCAGTATATTAAATGGGACAATCATACCTCAGGCTTGGAAGAATCATCTAGAATTGTCTTCCCCCTAGCAACTGCAAAGCACCCAACTCATGAAGTAGAAGTTGGAGACCTGTTTGTCATCCTTTCAGTCCTGTCTAAGATGAGAGCATGAAGGAGGAAAACTGCCCCCAGAATGTGCAAGGTAAGCTATTCAGGGAATAGACCCAAGGTGCTCTGGCCAGAGGTACAATCCAAATTATAAAAACTAAATTGGCATAATACCTAAGGTGTTAGGAGATTGCAAGTATCACTGTCTAGGTGGCAACTTTCAGCACATTGTCAGTATTCAAAATTAAATTGGATTCTGTGGTTACAATTCAGTGGTAACACAATTCCTTAGTGTATACAAGGCCCCAGGTTCAATCCCCAGCAATAACAAAAAATTAAATTGAATTGATAAGGGTGCAGTATGGCTTTAGCTAGGTCTATGTGCGTTAGGAAGTTTTCATTTCATTCTAAGATAAGATTGCTTATATTTTTATATTATTCCATGCATATGTTCTATATCTTGCTTCTCATCATGGAGGCTGTTCATTCATTCACTTGTTTGTTCTGTCAGTATCCATGGATCACTTGCTACATACTAGCACTGCGCTAAGCACTGAGAACATAAACTAAGAGATAGTCTGGTCCTCAAGGAGTTCACGGTCTAGAGATGTGGAAACAGATAAAGAAGGCCCATCCTTCCATGTATTGTGACAGAGAAGGATGAATCAGATGTTATGGGAACACAGAGGACAAACACCTATACCTGCCTGAAGATGGGTATCATGGAGGCTTCTTGGATACAGGAAGAGTATGTTACTCCTTAGGAGATAAGTCAAATTAATCAAGGCTGAGGGTAGAAGGAGAGACATTCTAGGTAAAAAGGAAAACATAAGGTAAGCACTAATAGGAAGACACAATTTTTAGTGGCAGAAGTCTCCTTTTGGGACTGGGCTAAAAGTCATTCAATAATCATTGTGTGAATACTTACTATATATACAACTGTGTGCTAAATAAAAGTGTCATGCAGAAATCTACCAGGTTGCTTGGTCCTCCATGAATTTACAGTCTGGGCAAACAGTGCATATAAACATCCCAGAGAACTGAATAATTAAGGGAAATATATCAGAATAATGTTTGCAAATGAATGTAAAAGGAATGATGCAAACATTAAACTTTATAAGCTGGGGGAAGATCACAGTGAGTGAGAGTGGTAGAGGTGGTTTCACCTTGGAGAAGCATCTATTTTTGAAGATCAACACACAAGAGTCATCTAGTCAGAAAAAAAGTGAAGCTGCCTTAGAAGGGGTAGAATTACATTGGCACAGATGGGAAGGCAGAAATCCGTGAAGTACATTAAGATGTAAATTCTAAAAAGCCAATTTAGAGTAGGCTAAGGGCCTGGCTCTACTACATTTCAACGGGGTATCCCTGGCCAACTTAGTTTACCTCTCTGTGCCTCACCTTCCTTACCTACAAAATGGAGCCAATAATTCCATAGGATGTTGAAGCTCAGAAGGTTCTTCTGAGGATTTAAGAAGCAAGTTTATGAAATGTACTGAGAGCAGTTCCTGGCAATGTGTAATGTTCAATAAATGTGTTTTGATATTGTGTGTGGTTGGCAAATGTACATTTGCAGTGTCAACGCAGAATAGACAGTCAATAAATTTTATAAGAATCAATGAAAAATGGAATATAAGATCAATGAAATAAAGTAGAACCAGACTGTGGAACAGCCTGGGGGCAAGATCTTGGGTTTTAAATGCCATCCTATAGGTATGGCAAGTATTTGAATTTTTAAACAGAGAATGCCATAGTTTTAAAAATTTTATTTTTAGACTAATCTGTTAAGCATGTGTCAAAGTGGAAGAGAAAGAAACTAGAGTCAGAGAAAGCTATCCATTCAGGTGATTTTCTAAGCCTGGATTAAATTGTTGGCTCTG